GACAGCTAGAAGCCTAGACATTTACCTAAAGTTTCTCAGCATTGTTTGGACACCCAATTTGGCTACAGGCCTAGACTATCTGACAGATCATTTTCAGAAGCAGGAATTTTGAAAGGCCATCTTACCCTGTCTTGGCAAGGTTCAGTAGTCACTTTTCCTTGTGTCTTGCTCATCTGGAAAGGACAACATTCATACTGTCAGCAGTGAAGACAAGGGCAATTCTTTGCCCAACAGGCCCATTTATGCCAAGAAGAAGACAAACTTCCAAATAGAAATGTCTTAGAAGCCTAACATTTTCTCAGGTCAGATTGGTGCTGCTGGGAGCAATCATGTCTCACATCAACAGAATTCTAAGTTATCAAAACATTTAAATGCCATATTCTTTAGGTCTATGAAGTGTCTGAATATTACTTATCCATCTGACATATGTTTCTGTAAATCTGGAAAACCTAATTAACATAACTATAGAAATGACAAGCATGGGTGACTATAAATCTGTAAGTCTTCTCTACCTAAATAACCTAAGGACTAAGGCTTCACATTAACAAGGTAAAAAGTCTGTAAGCAAATATACTGTATAAAGACAATGACCTCAAAACTGTGACAATACACAAAATATCTGAAACACAGGTAGAAATGTATGATGCATTATGCAATATGACAATATCCTTAATATGTATCAATTTACAAAATATCCTAAACAGAAGTAGAACATACCTACAGTATGACAAATATAATTTTACACTTGTATCAATATACAAAATATTTTAAATAGGAGTAGGAACAATACAACAAATATAGTTTTATATTTGTATCAAATTACAAATTATCTTAAATAAGGATATAAGAGTAGTTTACATTTGTATCAAATATACAAGAATCCATATCATTGCAAATCATTCAAGATTGATAGTTTGCTAAATCAGTTTACTAATAGATACAATAATCTACCTTAATATACTATACCTATCCATTCCCCCCGCCTTTTTTTTTATAAAGGAGAATACTGAGTCTAAATTTTATTGTTCCACCTCCAACCTTATAACCATCCATCCATAACCCTGAGAAAAAATGAAACCTTTGGGAGAGGGGTGTTGTTTTCTTAATTGCTTCCTGCTGTTTAGGGGGCAATGGTATTTCTGTGGGGTCCTGTAAGAAAGCTTAGATAGTTAGGTCTCAATAGGATTAGCTGTAGAATCTGCAGACAGTCTCAGAATAATGGGTAAGATTGTCTAAGATTCTGGTTGGAAGTGTAGTATGATGAACCATCTCATCTTGGAACTGTCCTGAAGAATTATCAGTCCAAGGCTGATCATTGAGTAATGTTCTTAGGTACAATGGCATCTTTCTGAACTAGAGTCTTCTCTCTGGCAACTTCAGAAATTATTGTTGGAAAGACATATTTCACTGTGGAGAACTTGACATTAATATCGAAATGGAAAGTTTGGATTTTAGGATGACATGGAATGTGAGGAAGGATTCCCAGAAATCAAAAATAAGCATGGAGAGAAATAGAGTCTTGACAACAATGGATTATTGGTTTTCTTCTGTCTCACACCAGTTGACACTTCTGAGACAGAATCTCCTAATTTTTCTTTTAGCAATATGCTTGGGTTTAGAGAAGGAAAGAGCCACATTCCAACACCAAACCAGCTTGATTTATAACTGAATTGGGACCATAACTATTCTGGAGTTAAAGAGATGTAGATGTTAGGCAGTGATATATTATACTGTGGAGTATATTGGTACCAATATGTCCTTCCTTTATGCAGTAGACATCTAGGTATCCAAGGCCTTATGATTTCTTGAAGATGGGTATTTCTATTATCCTGTAAAGACAAACACCAGAACCCTGCCCTGACCCTTGTTTGTTGAGTTTTTCTTACAACTTATGGAGTGGTCACATCAGTGGATGAGCTATTACTTCTTCTCATCAAGGGCTTTCTCCTGTTCAAAGTGAATTTTTATTAATTTTGTTGGTATCCATAGTTTTTCTTCTCCTGAAGAAACAAAAGCAAAACCCCTTCCCCAATATAGGACATATCCTGGTTTCCATTCTGAGGTTAACATATCTTTGAAGTAAACCAGTTGGTATAGCTCAGGAGTTTTTTCTGTTGTCCAGTGTCTCTCTGCAGCTGTTTTCCCTTTTTCATCAGCACTGAGAAAATTCAAGGTTAATAAAGCATTATGTAATCTATTTCTAGGGGTCATTGTTATCTCTTTATGTTTATTTAGCATATTCTTTAAAGTTCAATGGGATCTTTCTATGACTGCTTGGCCTGTAGGATTGTGTGGTATACATGTAATATGCTTTATATTGTAATAAGCAAAAACCTGTCTCATTTTATTTGAGACATATTATGCTGGAGCATTGTCAGTCTTAATTTGTACAGGTATTCCCATGATTGCCATAACTTCTAATAGGTGTGTAATTACAGAGTCCACCTTTTCAGAACTCATAGGAGTTTCCCATTGAAATTCTGAATAGTTGTCAATGGTATGGTGTACATATTTTAATCTCCAAAATACAAAATGAAACATAACCATCTACCAAATTTGATTTCATTGTATACCTTTAGGATTACTTCCTGTGGGTAATGGAATTTAGTTATTGAAGAAACAAGTAGGATATTTTTTTAACAATTTCCTTGGCTTGTTGTCAAGTGATAGAAAAGTCCTTTTTCAAACCTTTGCTATTTACATGGTGTTTCTTATGAAATTCAGAGGTTTCTAACACATTACCTATTAATAATTGATCAATCTCATCATTACCTTGTGCTAGAGGACCTGGCAGACCCATATAGGATCTGATATGTTTCATATATATAGGATGTTCTCTATTCCTGATGATTTCCTATAATTGTATAGTGAAGTTAATTCTGTGTTATGAGGAATAAATTCAGCAGTTTCAATATGTAAAACAATTCTCTCTGCATATTGAGAGTCATTGACTATATTGAGAGGTTCTGTGAAGTTCATTAGTACCATAAGAATGGCATACAGTTCTTCCTTTTGTACAGAATTGTAGGGACTTTGAACTACTTTAAGTCTCCTGATTTATATCCTGCCTTTCCTGATTTATTTGTGTCACTATAGAATGTGGGGACTCCAGTGTGGTGGTATTGTGTTCACCAAAATATTGTGTACCTTAATAAACTTACCTGGGGTCAGAGAACAGACAAGCCACTAGTTAGTCAGTGATAGCATACGCCTTTAATCCTAGTATTCCAGAGACAGAAATCCCTCTGGATCTCTGTGAGTTCAAGGCCACATTGGAAATAGCCAAGCATGGTGACACGCCTTTAATCCAAGAAAGCCAGCCTTTAATCCCAGGGAGTGGTGGTAGACAGCAGAAAGATATATAAGGCGCGAGGACCAGAAACTAGAGGCATTTGGCTGGTTAAGCATTTGACTGGTTAAGCATTTGGCCTGGTTAAGCTTTCAGGCTATGGAGCAACACAGTACAGCTGAGATTCATTCTGGATGAGGACACAGAAGCTTCCAGTCTGAGGAAACAGGACCAGCTGAGGAAGTGGCGAGGTGAGATAGCTGTGGCTTGCTCTGTCTCTCTGATCTACCAGCATGGACCCCAATTACTGGCCTCAGGTTTGATTTTATTAATAAGAACTTTTAAGATTCCTGCTACACTCCAGAGATTGGTTTTTGCTGTACAATGTGAGGAAGGTCCCATTCAGTTCTTTTTTCTTTTTTTTTGATTGCAGAGACATCTCCATCTTGTTTTATTAGGGATGTGACAAATCTTTGATTTGTATTCGATTTGTACACGGATAGTGCCATTTCAACCCCCCCAATTTTGCAATTCAGTTTATTTTCATCCCCCAAATCAATTTGGATGTTGCTAATTGTTCTTTCCTGGTAACGTGGCATTTGTTGTGACCATTAGCAAGTGCTGCAGCATGCCTACACTGTCAGGCCATGTAGGAGGCACATCACTGAGGGCTGTGATAGACAAGCAGTGTGCAAGAACAGGAGATCACCAAGGACCGGAGTAGAGCCCTCCGGACTTTGGGAGGGAAGGAATAAATATATATTTGAAAAAAAAAAAAAAAAGCAGAGAATAGTGTGGAAATTTTTTTAAAACTGCGTGTAATACAAATCCAGCCAAAACAATAGTGCAAAAAGTTACAGAGCAACAACCTCTTGGGCTAATGCAGTGGGCTATACAGAGACAGCCGCGATGAAATGTGCAGGTAGGCACGGTGAAGACCAAGGAACCAAGGAGATGGTTAATATTGCCACCCACAGTTTGTGTTTTCGATTTTCCCCCCAAACTTTCCATACAACAAACACATCTAGAGCAGCCCAGCCAGCTATGGTGGAGGTGCAGTCCAGAAGAGACTGTGGAGAAAGAAGTCTCCTGAGGCCATGAAGATCCGCAACAGGCTGGATGGGGGCAGCGCTTGGAGTATAGCCATGTTCTGTGGTGGAAGATGTGGGCCTCGGGAGACTGCTCGGGTTCCTGGGACCTCGTTATCACATCCCATCCTACAAGTTTGCACTGAATGCTTCCTGACAGCTACACAGGTTAACGCTGATTAAAAAACACAAGGACACAAATCTATCTCTTTCATTGCTGGTGTGTGGAACCAGAACACCACCACAAAATATTTCCTTGGCCTAAGAGATCACTGAATTAACAAGGAGTTTTAACAGAGGAACAGGAGTGCTGTACTGAGAGGCTTTCGAAGGGAAACACAGGTACCGCCAATTCCGATGAGTTTCTGAAAATGCTAGAAAAATGACAGACCGCTGAAGACAGCTGCCATGCTGTCCTCCAGGATAACGGCACTAATGTTAAAAAAAATAATAAGAGCTTTTAATGATTGTAATGTATACAGTTTGGGCCATTTGGCAAAACCCTGCAGATGTGTATTAATGATGCTTTATTTAAAAACAAAACAGTCCATGTTGGAATTGATCAGGGTAAGTTAATGGTGGTTTTTAGGCTGGACCCATGATTTAAGCTGTACCCATCCAGCTCAGACAAAAAAATAAAAAGAGAGAGAAATCATCTGAATGTTAAAGCAATTGTTCAGAGTCTTGAAGAAACCAGGCCAGAGGATGCCAATAATGATGATTGGCAAAATCAAAATCAAAACGAAAGAAACTTTATTGAGCTGCCGACAAAGAAATCTTGCACGGCGACTCCAAGTCTGGAGTTTCTGGGATGAAATTGTACAGTCCACAGTTTCCTCATTCGCTGCGGAGATGGAGCTGTCACTGAATCTGACAGAGCCCTGCACTCCTCGGTCCGCCGCCGACCCTTTCTGTAATCCAGTCTTCAGGGAAGCCTGGGGACCTGTTTCAACCTGCTCCTTCTTGGTCTTCTTCTTTGGCACAACCTCGGCGGATTTCTCTGACTCAGATCGAGTCCTGATGGACCTCCTCTGCTGCTTCTTCTCTCCGGGGCCTGCAGAGCCAGATGTTGCCTCGGGAGATGACGTGTTCTGAGTTGGCTTCTCATTTCTCTGACTCGGTGAGGAGATTATAAGCCTGTCTTGCCCCCTGACACTTATTTCTGTTTTGTTACCAATTCCCTTCGTTGAATAAACAAACTGATCAATGAACTTCCCATCTCCTGTCGCGTTCTGAAGAGCAAACACTTGTTCAATTTTCACAACTGGAGACATATTACACTTCTGCAAATCTAGGCTCCCTTTGTGCATTGTGATGGAGGCCGGTAAGGACTTCCTCGCGGCCGCTGTTTTCCAGGCTATTTTAACAGGAGGGGGCTCTTCCTCTTCCACACTTGTGTGCCGCCTCTGGCTCTGTCTCCGAAGATCAGTACTTGACTGTGAGGAGGCCACCCCCCCCCTCCCCAGCATTGGTCTGTTCTGGCTGACTATTGAGCACAGATCTTGGTCTTCGAGGTTTCTTAACTTCGGTCTTGGAGGTAACGTTCTTCTTTGCTTGGGATGAAGCCTCTTCTGGCTGCTTGTCAATGTAGATGAAAGTGTACTGTTCCACTCTCTCTTCCCGAGTCATCTTCAAAGCCTTCTCCACATGCGCAATGCCAATGTCCCACTGGGCGCGTTCTCTCTGAGGCTGGGGTTTCCGAATCTTTTGTTTTTCAGAGTGATTGCTGGCTTGTTTGGTTGCCTCGGCTAGTAACTCTTCATACTGTTCGAGACCTTTATACTCCCGTACCTGTTTCTCATGAACCCATGCCCTCTCTGGCTGGTTGCTAAAAAATTGGACATGATATTCCCGGGCACCTCTTGTGTTAATTTTGGTATGGACCTCAAGCTGGGGGTCACTTGAAACCATACAAGGCCACCAAGGATAGGTTCCCACCTTGGACCAAACAAGATCACCAACCTGGAACTTAACACCGGTGGACGCTTCTGTTGTTGGAACAGAAGACAGTATTGGCTGAACCGGGACGGCTTCTTTGATCACTGGCTCTTCTCTTGGTTTTTCTGGTGCGGTGTCCACCCTCTCATTTGGTCTACTCTCTGCCTCTGGCTCTAACTTGGGGGTCTTGTGTGGCCGGCGCTCTTCGGGTCCGGGCGCCTCGTGCCTGCTGCTCTTTTTCCTCTTCTCCTTCCTGCTCCCGTGCTTTGACTTCGTGTGCTCACTTGCCTGGACTTCATTTAAAAGGTCCCCACAAAGGGAGGACTCGAACAACTCCCTGCCATTCTGGATAGTTTTGGTTATTTTTAGTTTAATCTCAGGTGAGCCCGTCTTCTTTGGAATTACAGTTTGTGGTACCGAAGGAGGAGGAGGTGGTGGCTGTGGAGGAGAAGGTTTTTCCAGACTTTCATGTGGTCTTGTGTTTGGAATTTCTGAATGGTAATAGTCAGTAGGGCTAAAGTTTCTAACTGCACCAAAGCCGTTGGCTGACCCATTGGGGTACTGGTTATATGGCGGGTATTTGGTCTGGGTTTCATACAAGCCGATCGATGGTGGGTAGCCATTTGTGAGTGGAGGAAGGTCTTCTGTTGTGGGTGGATACTGAAAACCTTGTTGCAAAGTAGCTTCGAAGGGTGTTTGGCCACCATCTTCAGCAATGTCACTGCTGTTATCAAAGGCATCCTCCTGGCGGATGTTGGCGGAGTCAATGAGTTGAGGTGGTTGCTGAATTGTGTTTCCCATGATCCCTTGCATGAAAGAGAAAGAGAAATCCATTGTTCTGCTTCAGCATCCTTAACTTTCCCTTTCTCTCATCGAGCCTTCAGTTTGTTCCATTCTAACCCCACGGCCGTGTCAGTGCGATCACAGGAGAGACACGGAGGCCCGAAGTGGGGCTGGGCTGCCGGCAGCTGCCGGGACCGCGGGCGCAAGAGACGGAACCGAGCTAGGCCGCATGAAATCCTCGGACTAGATTTCCCTCGCGCCGAGCGCCCCTGCCATGGCGGCCGGCATGGAGGAGGGCCACGGCCCGGCCGGTCGGGCTCATTTGCGGGCGGGCGGAAGGCTGCGGGTGATGCGGAGCGAAGGGGAGGCGGCCGGATGGGGGCCGGATGGGGAGTAGCTCTGCTGGTGCCGGAGAGGAAGCCGGAGGCTGGCGGCCCCGAAGGGCAGCGGGGTCCCGGGGCTTCGATCGAAAACTGCATACCTCTCCTCGGCGCCCGGCACACATCGGCCTCCGTCTGGATCTCCGCGCTGCCAGCTCCCGCCTCCGCCGCCGCCGCCTCCCCATTCAGTTCTTTTTATGAGTTCTATTTTCTTGCTTTTGGGATAGCAAATGTTAATCTCTCCCAAAAAGTTACTACAGGCTCTTTGTCAGTAAGCACTATTTTTCCATAAAGAGGAAATTTCCTCATTAGTTAAAGGTACTACAATTTCTGCTGGGTCTATTCTTATCAGCTGGCAATGTCTTAATTTTCCTTTTAGAATCAAATCAGAGATCTTTTCCTACATAAGTCAATTTCTTACTCAGTTTACATGATAAAAATATCCATTCCAACATAATATCTTTCCTCTGCATCAAAATCCCTGTGGGGAAGTATGGTGGTATTCTAATTGTACTGAAATGTGATTTTGATTGTATGTTAATAAATAAAGTTGCCTGGGGGTCAGAGCTATTAGAGCCATAGCAAGAGTGTGGTGGTGGTGGCACACGCCTTTAATTCCAGCACTTGGTAGAAGAGCTAGGTAGATCTCTTCTGTTCAGGGATACAGCCAGCATTGGAGACATATGCCTTTAAGACCTGGGGGGCTGTACATACAGACAGTGACGAGGCAGTCACGTGTTTGGGTTCACAACCAATGAGAAGGCAGAATAAAAGACTATGAAAAGACTTACACACAGGAAATAGGTCCTTTTCAGAGAGCTAGGACCACTGCAGGAGGAAGGGTGAGATTTTAGCTCTGAGCTCTGACCTCTTGGCTTTCTCTTTTACATTGGTTCTGTGTTTCTTATTTAATAAGACGGTTG